AAGAATTTCAAACAATTAATATTGTTTTGAATTTCAACCAAAATTTACATAAAATAATAAAACAATGAATAAAATGATATGGAATATTTTCCAATATCAAACATTTAGAGATATGTTTGTATCGTGTTGATTAAATGGTATTATTCTATTTATAAAGAAGTTCCTTAAGAAAAGAATAAAACAAAAGTGGATAAATAACAACAAAATTTGTTTGAATTTTTCAATAAAATAATTGGAAATAGTTAATGATGAATTTCCAATGTAATTTGATAAATCAAAAAGTTTATCTTGTTATGATAATACACAAACAGAAAATGAAATTATAATGATGATACGTGCATTATTATTAACACCAGTTAATATAGAAGAAATGAAAATGAGATAATATTTATCATAGTATTAATGAAGAAAAGGATAGAAACATTAAACAAGAAAAGAATAACCAAATAAATAATTAGTTAATTAAGTGTTAATAGATTTTTCATTTATTCTTCCTAGTTTAGATGAGACTAATCCCTGAGCTGTTTAAAAAAGAGTAATCTTTTTGTTTAACTTATCATTTATGTTTTTCTTGCAAAATGAGAAAATCACTTCTTTCTTTTATTTCTTCTTATTAATGTCTTCTCATCCTTCTTCTGCTTATTTCTTCTTTTTATCCTTTTGTTTATTTTCTGTCTTAATTTTAAACATTTTCTTTTTCATTTTATCTTTATTTTATGAATGAGAGAAAAGACTATTTCATTCCCATTATATTATTATGTTTAATTTTCTTTTAGTCTTACCCACACTTTAGTAGATGCTTATATTACACCATGTAATATTCTATCATAATATCATGCTCCACCCTTTGCAGTTTTACCTAATACATTTCTAATTCAAATACACCGTCATAACCAGATAATAACTTGGAGAGTAGAAACTTGAATTGTATTAGTGTTTGTTTTGTGTTTCAGACGTGACTCTTTCAATCTTATGTTTATTAAATACCAAAATAACTAACAAAAATAAATATGTAATAATTAAAAGTACAAAAAACAATTTAATTCTGTTTGAAAAGAAATTTGTCAAGAGTTGTTTTATCTATTGATACTGATGCATAAGGATCAATGTCTATAACTTTAATTTGACCTAATACTGCTTGTTGATATTTTGTAATAATTGCTTTTTTTAATGGAGGAGTTATTTTTTTAATAATTTCAAACATTGACTGAGGATTAATAACATTAATTTGTGAAAATAATTCATTTGGTTGAAATGACTCTAAATTTAATTGGATTATTTTAGCAACGTTTCCTGTTAAATTAAAACATTCTTGAATTTTTAATTCTGAGGGAATTAATGACCGAGTTCTTGCTGTTTGCATTAAAATATTTAAAGCTATTTCAACATTAATACTTGGAGAAGTATGTAATATGTAATTAAATAAATAACGGTCAAGATATCGAAAATATAATTTCACATATTCTTCTTTAAATATTACATCAATATGATTATTATTCATTTCATTAAGAACTGATAATACTGAATTAAAAACACGTTCATTTTGTAATCGTGTTTTAGGATTTAAGAATATATCACTAACATATGGTTCAGTTTTAGAAATAGAATAATCGATGATCGATGTTAATATCATTGAAATACAACTTTCAATTGATTGTTGACACATCTCAGATAATCTCTTTCGTTTTGGGTCAAATCTTGCCAAATGAATCATTGCATATAATCGTAATATCGTTGATAACCAATAACATAATCTTGTAGGAGACCCACTTGACAAACGAACAATACCATTAATAATTGCAAATAATAATGAAACAAATGGAATATCAACAGTATCATCATATCCTTCTTCTAAATTATCTCCTTCAGTCATTTCGTCTTGATGATCTAACCCATCATTTTCTTGTTTAACAATTTCGTCACCATCATGAATTCTATTAAACAAAATAATAGCTATTTCTGGTTGGTCTTCAATAAACTTTAAATTAGTATTAAACAATACCTTTTCAAATAAGAAATTATAACTACTTGGACTTAAAAAGGAAACGTTATCAAAAGGAATATTATTACCTAGCTCATCAATTTGAGCTTGTAAATTATCAATTTCATCACATAATTGTCCATATTCTTCTTCATTTTCATCAAACTCTACTTTTAATTCATCTCGTTGTTTAATAAGTTCATTTAATGAACCAACAGAATCATGAAATGATGTTTCTATTGTAGTTTCTGAATATAATGATGTATTTCCTTCTTCATTTTTCTTATCTGTGTTATTTAATCCTTGTTGATTTGTTGCTAATGAAGTAGAAATACTAATAGTACTTCCTTTCTCAGCTGAAAATAAACACGCTTCAACTTGTCCTTTTTTACATTCTCCTTCAGTAAATGGAAAAGTAATAATTTTATCATTCATATCAATGTATTGAGCAAGATCTAATTTCACTCTTCCAATAAGAATTTCACTTGAAGTTTTAACAACATATATACTAAGTACTAATTGTTTTGGTTTAAACCCATCATTACCTCTTGGCTGTAGTTTAGTGTCAAAAGTAAATGAACTGTTCCACAAAGCTTCATCCTCTTTTACTAATGATCGTTTCAATACACCTGATTTACTTTTCGACCCTCTCCACCATTTAATAAACAATGTATGTCCTTGATATTTCTTAACTCCAATAACCCGTTTGATTTCTACAGTAAACGTATATTTTATTATGTTTCTCTTTCTCCTAAACATTGTTCTTTCTGTTTTTTGTTCAGTTCTTTTTTACTATATTTTATCATTTTATTATTATTAAATCTTTATTTTTATTTTTTGATGAAAATAATTTTCGTTTTTTAAATAACAAAAAAATAAAAAATTAGAATATGGAAATATACAATAAATCTTATGTCTTGAAAAGATCTTTAGCTTAAATTTCATTATGCAAGTAATATTTATATGAAACGAAAAAGTTTCTATTCTTGTTTATCATAAAAGTATATTTTTATCATTGTAAATAATTGAATAAATGCTTGAATTATTTTAAAAAGTTGATTCTAACTCTTAGTCAAATGTTCCAATTTTTACTGATTAAAATTTATACATATAACTTAAATATATCATAATTTTAAATTTAAGGTTAAAGGAAATAAACACATATTCAATATTCTAAAAATGATCTCCATAATAAAAATATATTTATTTAACAGTTTTTCTTTATAGCATCTATGTCATTTACTTTAATAAAAATATATTCTCAACAACTAAATAATCAAATAATATGATGTTTCTTTGTTTAAAGAATAAATAGATTCTTTTCTTGTAAATAAAAAGAATAAACAATTAATAAATAATATTTTTATAATATCTTTAATATATATTCATTGTTAGTTGAAATAAAATGTTCAGATGTATATAGTATTTATTACATTGTATAATAATAAAAAAGAATGAACTATTGTTTGATGTTTTAACGGAGATAATATTATCAACTTCTAAAAATATAACTAACTACTATAATTGTTTTGTTTAATACACAAAACAGTTTATATCATAACTAATAAGCTAAACTAACTGCTTCTCTAAAAAGTGGATAAAAAGAATTAAATGAGAAACAGACTTATTGAGTGAACTGGAATGTGAGGTTTAATACCTTCATTCAAATTAAATAATTTAAAAAAGGAAATTTCATAACAAATTTAATTTTAAATTAATTAATCTTTCTTTAATTTAATTGTTTTTTGTTTTAGTCTAAGAAGAGTAAATATATGAGCAGAAGTCTCAAGAAGTAAAAGAACAGAAAGAATAGCACTGATACACCAATATGATTTATTTTGTGAAATCTAAACAATAAATATATAGAAAGAATAAAACTAAAACAATTAAACAAACAAAATAGAATAATGGAAGAGAAAAAAGTTCAACTAGCATATATGGTAGTTGATATATTAATCCTGAAAAAATTGAAGCAAATAATTGAATAAAAACTGAATATCCAAATGCAAATTGAAGTGGTTTGAATGAAGTTAATTTTTCATTATCTAACCAGAAGAGATAAATTATTGGATAAAACAATGTTGGGATATTTAATGAGAATGGTATTGATATTAATAACCTTATAAATAAGACAATTATCATTAAAAAGATAAAAAATGAAAGATAAACTTCCTCAAATTTCTGAGGTGTATATAATTGATTTATCATTCCAACAAAACCAATTATAATAATACAACAATATTCTATAACCATCAAAAAAGATTTAATAAATTTTTTATCTTTAGAACATCCTAATGTTAATAATAATATAAATATTGACCCAATACTAAAAACCATAATCATACAAATAAATATCACATTTAATAAATCATCTATATCTGATTTAAATGATGGATGAGAATAATCAATCATTAAAAAACTCTTTATTTCTCTTTTGAAGATATTAAGTATTATTTCAAATTTACCTTTTAATAATGAAATAATGCTGACATGTTTATATCCTTGTGAATTATGTAATGTAACGTTTTGAATAAGCTGCGAAATATTAAAGTTATTCTCTGAAACGTTCATTAACCTAATTTTTTATTCTAATTAACAAAAAATAAATAAAACCCTGTTTCATACAAAATAACAAAATCAGTTTTTTTTCTTCCTCTTTTCATAAAAATTCAGCTATTAACTTCTCAATTGTTAAACCATCTTCTAATGGTATCATTAATGGATCCACTGGACAACTAACCCAACTCCCTAATTCTTTTTCACTTTCCAGAGGTCGTTGTAATAATTCTTGTTCATATGATGAATCTACTATTGAAAGTCGTTTATATTGTTCTTTTTGTGAAAGCAATTTAGGTTGTTTTTTAGAAATTATTGGATAAGTGCTTTCTTTTAAATCTTCTATCCCTGCAAATGGGTCTATACTTAATGCATTTATAGACATATGAATTGGTAATTCACAGTTCTAGATGAAGAGTAAAGAAAATAATGGTAAAATCAAATTGTCATTTTCACATGTTAATTCCATTAATCCTGAAGTGATTGAAATTAAAACCAGTTGATTAAATGATAAATATAATGGGATGTATGTGTTGATAATCATTCCAAAGAAAATTGATGTAATTATGAAGGAAAGAGTTCCTATTAATGTTTTATTTCCACAACGAGTTATAGGAAAGTATTTACCACAATAACTTCCAACAATTGCTGCAAATGCATCACCTATATCAACAGTGATTATAGAAGATATAATTGCACAATGAAAATGACTTCTAAATAATAGTAATGGTAAAGTATTCACATATAATAAAAGAAAAGCAGGAAATCCTAATGAAAGATTTGGGTCTTGATGTGAGTCTCTGTATCGTTGGAAAAGTTGAGAAAGAATACCAGTTGGTGCGAGTT